AATGGAAGAGAGGGATGAAGGAAGAAAGGAAGGAAGGAAGGAAGGAAGGAAGGAAGGAAGGAAGGAAAAGTTTTCTGAAATATAAAGAATAAATGACATCTAAGTCGTTTATGTATTGTTAGAAAAGTAAAGATATTCTTTTGACTGCTGACACCAAGACTTGTTATGAGTGACAAAGTGGGTGTGGGTTCCAGAAAGACCAGCACCCCAGGCCTGAAAAGAAGATGGAGGCTTACAAAGGAAGATGGGATGGTGAGCCTGATACAAATCTGCAAAGAGTTTCAAGGAATATACTGTAGTTTCTATGTCAGCAGGAAACCAAAGATGTGGGAGGAAGTTCTAAATGTGGACTGGTTGACTTGGTTGTTCATATAGGAAAAGGGATGAAGACTGGATGTAACCAGTTGTCCAGACAAGAAAATGGAAGCAGGCCGACTGGAATTGAAACTATGGTAAAGTGAACAAATGGTACACATGCAAGAAGCATTCCTGCACGGCAATCACAGACTGTACCTGCCCAAGAAATCAGGGTCTGCCCCCTGCTTGCCTATGCCCGCCCAGGCTCAGCCCACAAGGAAGATTCCTATAAGAAGGATGACCGAGGAAGAAATGGAAGGTAAGTGTATAATTCATAAAATACAGCAAAGCCTTTGATTGTGTGGATCATGAGAAACTATAGGTTGTTCTGAAAGACTGTCCTGATGCGTAACTCGTATTGTGGACAAGAAGGTACCATTATGACAGAATATGGAGAGACAGAATGATTTCCTATTGACAAAGGTGTCGGACAAGGGTGTATTTTATCTTCTTATTTGCTCAATTGGTATGCAGAACATATCACATGGAAAGCCATACTAGATTCGGACGAAGGGAGAGTCAAAGGGAGAGTCAAAATTGATGGAAGAAACATCAGTAACTTAAGATATGCAGATGACACCATCTTACTGGCAGAAGCAGCAACTGAGGATCAGGGAAGAACCAGCCTGTATGTTCTTGGGCAAGCTCCACAGTTCCACAACACTGCCGGGGAAAGTGAAAGCTGAACCAATTCTGAGTACTTTATGCCTAGAAAACCTTGGAAGGGGTAGCTGTAAGTCAGAGCTGACTTCATAGCACATAATCATTATTAATAAAAATCACAGAGAAGGGGACGACAGAGGACGAGATGGTTGGACAGTGTCATCAAAGCTACCAACATGAATCTGACCAAACTCCAGGAAGCAGTGGAAGACAGGATGGCCTGGCGTGCTCTGGTCCATGGTGTCACGAAGAGTCGGACACGACTAAATAACTAAACAACAACAACAAAACAGTGAAGATGGGGCATGTGCTTAGTGTCTCATCGTCAGACCATCCGGTAAGTATAAAGGTCTGAAGATAAGACTCTGAACACATGTGAATCTAGACCTCCCATGATTTCAAGCCTTACCTTGTCAGGAGTACATCCCCAGTCATGCAAGCTCTGGTAAGTGCATTTAATCAAATTTGCTTACGATCTCTTCCTCAGAACTTTCCATTCAACCTGTTAAGCTCTAACTGACCTTCCAGTAGGGGGACACTAGAGGCACAGATGACGTGTGCCCCCATATTCCCACTATGAATAAGGCCTTATTCATGCATTCATACAAATGGAAACTGATCTGGTTTACTGTCTGTTGTGTTTCAGCACCAGCACTACAGGTAGCCATACCTGTACAGGTAGCTAGCAGCTTTACAAAGGAACATTAGGCCTCTACTTGGTCTAATGAAGTTTCTGATTCTGGCTTGGCTATATATAGTCCTACTTAGTCTTAAGCCGCCTGTCTTCATTTGCCTGCTTGCCTGCTTTCTGGCTTGACTACCTGCCTGCCTGCAGGCTATCAGCACAGGCAGATACTTCCTATTTTTTGTTCTGTTTTCAGTGCTACACTTGCTGTGTAATCTTCCACCCTAGAAGCACCCTTATTCATATTAATATACAAAAGAAGAAACAGAAAAATACACACTATTTAATTTATGTTCCTACCTGCTTTGATAGTTCCTGCACCCACCTACCAATCTATTCATATCTATGGACTCCCCCCCCCCCCAAGCTGCGTACCTTTCTGATAGGAAATGAAATCATATTTGGCTGCTTTCTGAAGTATCTTGTAATGAGAAGGTATGCTACCATCTTAGTGCTCCTTCTTATGCCCACTGCCTTCTTGGGAAAAAGTTCTTATTAAAGCCATGCAGTTACAAGGTTATTGTGCAAGATTTATGCATCTTTGATACGGATATGAATTAAAAGGGATCCTACAATCTCTGGCAGCTCCTCGCTTGCTTGATCAATTTTCTGTCTCATTATGCTACATGTTAACTTTCAGGATTAGCTTATAGTCAATGGTACAGTAGCCTTCACATGGAAGAGGAAAGAAAGCTATTAAATTGGATCTTTTGAATTCTCCCCAGAGGGACAGAACAACAACAAAGCAATTTACCTCCCTTATTAAGAAGGTGATTGAAGGCACAGATTTCCAAATAGAACAACAGAGGCCTTTATTTCTTTTAGAAATTACCTTGTAATATCATCATATTGAATTGCCATACTTAAAAGTCCCCAGTATTTGGGGGCTTTGTGCTCTACTCAATTCAGCTTTGCTCTTCATGGCAAAAGGTGGAGATGGGAATTTGACAATTAAGTTATTAAGATTCAATTCATTCTTCTGATTGTAAAGTGCAATTCTTTTGCCATGCTTGGTATGCTAATGAAAGTCAAACTCTGACATCAGCCTCCAGGATGCATCAAGCAAGGCAACTTTGAGACCTGTGCCTAAACTGTCACCATTCTCCAGACCTGCAGCAGAGACAGTGCTGTGAACTGAAGGTCAGTGTTTGGCACCTAACAGTCCAGGAGAAGATGAGATCCTGCGCAGGTCCCAGACATTTGAGTCCCGAAAGTTAACCCTTCTCTCCTAGAATGAACACTTCAACCTGCCTCGCTGCAGCACTTAAACGCCAATTCCTTGCTTCATCAATCAGACAACCCCCCCCCCCCAACACTGACACACACCCATGGTGCCATGTGAAGCATACTGCAGGACCAGACCTGAGAAGGCCTGCTTATTATGACCAAGATTCTTTGATGCCACAGTAAGAATGAATGTGTGCTCACACTTTTGCTGGGGGCATTATTTAGTAAATAGTCTGCAGCTGAACTATGGATAATCTGACAGGCATTACCCATTCTGCCTGACTGTTTAGACCCTCTTGGCTTCTGGATAATGGCTAGGAACTGGTGCTACTACAAAAAGTGGACGAAGTTGGCCTACCATAGCGCTCAATGTTGCTACTTGCTGTTGTTGTTGGGATAGTTTGTTCATCCCTAGGAGTTACCTGATCTTGTCACTGCTATTATTCTAAACATATTGATTTTAATGCATATTGCCAATTTTATAATAATTTGAGGTTGATTTGATTCCTTTTTTCCTGGAGTTTTATAAAATGAATGAAATATCTCCTCTGCCCAAAAGTTTTAAAGAAAAGAAAAAGAAATGTGGCCTCTGAGAGGGATCTTCCCATAAGTTCTCTGGCATTATTATGTCAAATGAAAATAATTATTTAGGCTTAGGTTTAATCTCTGCATCATTGACAAAAAAATTGATTAGGAACAGTCAGCAGTACAACCAGTTCTAAACTTTATAAAAAGCTTCAGTTGGGAGGGCATGTTATTTATTTATTTATTTATTCAAAATCTCAGTTGGTCTTTCTCAAGTACACTGCAGGTTATTAGGATATGAACTTGCATATTTGGTTGAGCATACAAATGCCACAAAAGTGATTTGAGACCTGCCTGAAGTCTTATGCTATTGTTTAAGTGATGTCAGGAGCAGGTAGTTGATTGTTTTGGTTTTGAGGGGTTTTTTATGGCTTTTAAATAACTTTGGAAATGTAGATTTGCAAGACAATGAACAAAGAATGGGACTTAAGAAAATAAAGCAGAAGGCAAGTTCACATTTCAAGAATAACTCTCAGTATGCCTCACCTTCTGCTGACATTTTTATCCTGCACAATCCAGAAATACCTCATAATAAGAATCTCTGTTTTCTGAGAGGCAAGGAATGCCTTATAATCCTATTTTTAAATCCCTTCAAAACAGAGTTGACAATATATGAATCCTGAGTCTTCACGGTTTTAGATTATTGTGATTTGTGCTATTACCACATGAAAAAAAACTTTAATAAGAAGTTCTACATTTTTGTCAGGCTTTTTTTTTAAAATTGTGGGTTGAATACTTTACTTGTGCATGAGGAAGTCAGTACATGGTTCAGTCTCTTCAACAAAAGCACAATTTGCCAATTAATACTGATAAAATGATAGTAAAATTAATACAGAACTCTTAAGGCACCTACCTGAGGTCTTGGGAAGGTTCTGCTCTGATATGGGGTGTCTCCACAGAATGCTCAAATACAGCCCCTTCTGTGCCTAGAATAAATATGCAAGTAGGATACGGAACAATTATTTCATGTCAGGATCACAATTGAATACACTAGTAAAATGGAAATAATTTCTTTTTATTCATGTGCTTTCTCCTTCCGTTCCTGAAAGTAGAAAGGCAGTCACTCAAGTAAAGATGAGAGTAATGTCTGAACTGAATTGAACTGAACTGAATTGATTATGGTCAGCATGAGAAATAGCTCTCAGTCAATAAGTACTCTTACAAATTTCAACAATGACAAATTATGTTTTCAACAGCCCATGCAAGTCTTCTGATTTTCAAAACTTTGGCACACTATATACAATAGTTTCCATCAAATGTTTCCCCAAATCAGATAGTCTGGATAGCTGTTGAAGCCCTTGTTAACCTCTGGAATGTGGAAATTACTAGGGCAGTTGAAATGATCGCTCCCAAGCATCCTTTCATGGAGTAGAGCCAGATTTGCCCTCTGGTTTACTAGAGAGCAGGTGGTGATGAAACAGACAGATGAAGACATGAGTGACAATGGCTGAAAACCTGGAGCAAGTCTGACTGAACATGGGTTGGAGACCATTGGAAGACCTATTATCTGGTGGCACCATTGCATCTTTGACAAATATACAATGCTTGTGGTGGGCGAGTGGGTAACTGAAGCTAGGAGCTTTGGAATCTCGAAACTCGGTGACACGTGCTCGCTCCATGTAATGAGGATAACGAGCATCATGTAATGAGGGTAACCTTTAATGCCTCCAAGGAGCAGTCTGCCTTTTTTACAGGCCCAGATGCCCAGCAGAGTTGCTTTGAGAGGTCAGGCTCCAGTTCACGCCACCACCTTGTCCCCTCCCCAAAGGGAGCCTGCAAGTGGCGCTGGAGGAAACAATTGGGCAGGGGCAGCAGCAAGAGGTGCAGGTGAAGGAGCAGCCGTGTTTGGCTGCCATCCATTCACCTCCTCCAGCGCCACTGTTGGGGCTCACCTCCAGCTCATGTTGCCACCTTGTCCCCCGCCCAAAGCGAGTCTGCAAATAGTGCTGGAGGAGGCAACTGGGCGGTGGAAGCAGCAGTCAATGGGCAGCCACAACAGGCAACTGAGCACGGCTGCTCCTTTGCCTCCACCTCCTTCCGTGTATAAGATGTCCTTCAATTTTTCCTCCAATAGTTTTAGGAAAAAGTTTCATTTTATACATGGATAAATATGGTACATTTTAGTTGAGTCTTAGGCCTGGTTATGGAGCAGATCTTAATCAACAACGATGACCTTGTCAATGGGGTTGAAGTGGTGGGATCCTTAGGTGGGAGTGACCACACTCTTGGAATTTGTTATACAGTGGGAAGGGGAAGCCAAGTGCAGCCAGACACACACTCTAGACTTTAAGAAGGCCAATTTCAGTAAACTTAGGGAATAACTGGCTATACTTCCATGGACTGAAGAGAAGGGAGTTCAGGATAGATGGGAATCTCTTAAAAGGTAGATACTAAAGGCACAATCTAAAACTGTTCCAATAAGAAGGAAAACGGGAGATGTCTAAAGAAACCAGAACGGTTCACTAAAGAATTTTCAACTGAGCTAAGTTTTTTTTTAAAAAACATGTACAAGAAATAGAAAAATGGGAAAAACACCAAAGAGGAATACAAGCAAATAGCCAGTATACAAGGGGGATGTAGGGGGAAGGTAGGAGAAGCAAAAGTGCAGAATGAACTCAGGCTTGCCAGACAGATTAAAAACAGTATAAAGGGCTTTTTTTTAGTTATGCCCACAGCAAAAGGAAAAACAAGGAAATGGTCGCTGCATGGAGAAGATGGCCAACTACTAACAGAGGACAGGGGAAAAGCTGAACTTCTCAACACCTTTTTTGCCTCAGCTTTCTTCAAAAAGGAAAATAATGCTCAACCTGAGGGGCAAAGAGCAGGTGATGTAGTGGGGGAAACGCAGCACAGAATAGGTAGAGAAGTAGTACAGGAATATCTGGCTACTCTAAATGAATTCAAGTGTCCAGGGCCAGATGCCAATGCAATTCTTGGTTGCATCGATAGGAGTATAGTGTCTAGATCAAGGGAAGTGATAGTACCACTCTATTCTGCTTTGGTCAGACCTCACCTGGAGTATTGTGTCCAGCTCTGGGCACCTCAATTCAAGAAGGATGTTGACAACCTGGAACGTGTCCAGAGGAAGGTGACCAAAATGGTCAAATGTCTGGAAGCCATGTTCTATGAGGAGCAGCTTAGGGAGCTGGGAATGTTTAGCCTTACAAAAAGAAGGTTAAGAGGGGACATGATAGCCATGTTTAAATATTTGAAGGGACGTCTTGTTGAGGAAATGACAGGTTTGTTCTCCACGACTCCAGACTCTAGGACAAGGAGCAGTGGTTTCAAACTACAGGAAAAGAGATTCCACATGAATCTCAGGAAGAACTTCCTGACAGTCAGAGCTGGTCGGCAGTGGAATATCCTGCCTCGTGGTGGACTCTCCTACTTTGGAGGTTTTTAAGCACAGGCCATCTGTCAGGAGTGCTTTGGTGGAGTTCCGGCATGGCAGAGGGTAGGACTCCATGGCCCCTGTGGTCTCTTCAAACTCTGTGATTGTATGATTCTAGAGAGGGATTGGCTGCTACTGAGTTGACTGACGTCCACCACAGTTCAGAAGGGTCCCTCCCAGCTAAAACCTCTTAAATGCCTCATTTGCTTGCAATATTCCAACACTCCCAACCTCTGGCTTCCCAGATATATAAACCAGTGAACTATCCATCCAATTAGAGGGTAATTCTAAAATAAAATAAAATAATTTACAAAACATATACAGTCATCATTAGACTTATTTTAGTACTGTTTCAGCTGCAATCCTATGTTTACTTATTTGGGACCTTACTTAGGCACGGCAGATGTTACCAGCAACTCCCCCGAATACAGGAACGTTGCTCTTCTTATACAGTCCTTATAAGAAGGGACGTGGTGGCGCTGCGGGCTAAACCGCAGAAGCCTGTGCTGCAGGGTCAGAAGACCAAGCAGTCGTAAGATCAAATCCACGCGACAGAGTGAGCTTCTGTCGCTTGTCCCAGTTCCCGCCAACCTAGCGGTTCGAAAGCATGCAAATGCAAGTAAATAAATAGGGACCACTTTGGTGGGAAGGTAACAGCGTTCTGTGTCTAAGTTGCACTGGCCATGTGACCATGCAAGATTGTCTTTGGACAAACGCTGGCTCTATGGCTTGGAAACGGGGATGAGCACCGCCCCCTAGAGGCGAACACAAAAGGACAAAAATTGTCAAGGGGAACCTTTACCTTTACCTTACCTTATAATATTTCAAATGTGGTATTTCCTCCACAGTATGCTTGATCTACTTCAAATATGGGTTCAGTTCACATATCTGTTTCTTCTCCCACTGAACTCATGTTTCTTTCCTCACCCTGCCACAGTGCAGCAGGACAAAGAAAGTCAGTGCATAAAGTCCTAACAATCAATAATGGTCTCATGTTCCAACTGTCAGCCTTCAGTATTGGGCTGCAATACTAGAGGTTAGAACAGAGATTGGAACACTGTGGCTAGTGGCCCATGTGTGACCTTCTCAAGGCTTGTGTATGTGCTCTCAGGACCCTTCTGGAGTCCCTATCCTCCTAGTGAAAGATTGGCTTATTTAGGCCAAAATGAAAAAGGGCTTTTGTTAAACCAGAGCTGGACTTCCATTTACTTATAATTTCATTTGAGGCTGTTGGTGTAGCACCTGGTAGCTCTGGAGGGCTGAAAACTGGACCAGGGAACTCCAGAACATTCTTGGATCATGCAGACACTTAAAAAGCCTAGTTTTAGAGATGGCGAAATCCTCCAAAAAGAAATCAGAGATGAAAACAGACAAAGCATGGCACATCTTCTCAGAGTAACTTTTAAATAAGGGTGGGGGAAACCCCAGGATACCTGGAAGTGTTATAAATGGCAAGGTTTGAAAATATATTTTTCTGACACAGGGCTCAGCATATATCATATCCATCCTAATTCAGTACAAGCCACAGCTAGTCATGCATTCACAAATTGTGCTCCCTTGAAACTATGGAAACTGAAAATGTAGTACTCCCAGAGACTGACCGGTGTAAACTACTTATTTCTGCTCAATTTACCAGTTACTGAGATTCAGTCTTTGGAAAATGACAATGAATATGGTTTCATTAATATTACTGGAAGCATATCTTACAAATTATAAAACTGAAAGCTTGCTGATTGATAATGTTAGCCATGCATCTGGAGAAGGAACATAATGAGTGGATCCTTGTTATGTAAACAGCAAAGTAGGGAATTTCTCCATGCATCATCTTGCTCAAAAGAAAAAAAAATGGCAGTGTGCTTAGTACAGTAGCAAATAAAGGCTAAATGGTGCAATTAAGCTCTTTTATTTGAAGAATGGTGTATACAAAAATGAAATAATATTTGCTGTAACACAATCATAACATGAGGTTTATGGTAACTGAAACCAAACTCAATGTTGCATGTATTGTTCATTTCAATGAAGACACCAAGCAGCACAGGATTGTTTCAGTACATCACTGATTTTGCTGACAGGAGTTTCAACAGCTCAAGAGTTGTATTATTTTCTATTGCAAGGTGTTTGATTTGAGCTCAGCTGAAAAGCAAATGGCAGGGATTTTATTCCTGTACGTACTTCTATCATGACTGCTCAGATAAGGGATACAGGGACCTCATTTGTGTGTATCTCTGACAACAAATCGTCAGTCAAGCATTAGTGTGGCAATGTAGGATTTACAGGCAAATCCAGAATATCAATTAAATAGCTTTAGTGGTTCAACCTGGTAAAACATTGCAAGCTGCTTAGGGTGAAAGATAATATGCTACATAAAACAACTGTCTTTCAGCACCATTTGGGAAGGGATAGTTTCAACTCACACCAGTCTTCAAGCCTGGCCTACAAAGAGTTTTGATGTAACAGAAAAAAACAAGAGTCCTGTCACTGGAGTGGTCACCCGTCTGGAGTAAGATGGCAACTGATGCTTCAAGCCCCGTGGCT